TTTTAGTCCGTCGAGTGAGTCCGTAGATCGAAAATTGTTTTTATTATGCCTTGAACAGGATATATCACGTTTTCCATGTAGTAACATCCATAAGGAAACGAGGGAGATTCTATAAAGTATATATATAAATGTTCAGGGTGAAAAGCTGACCACTGTAGAACATAGCTGCCATATAAACTGATCGATTAAACTCAAGTACTTGTATAGGAAACTTTTTGATTTGACTACCTTTATGAAATTTGGTATAGGTTATTACCAAGGCAGCGTTACAATCTGCCATTTAAACTGATCGATTGAAATCAAGATAAAGATCATTTTAGAACTTAACTGCTATAAGAAATGCACCTGTGAATGGTATTATAGCGTCGGTGTTGACGAAGTCGAAATTGTTTCTTGTTTTTCTATTAAGTTCGTTTCGATGCATTATAGCATTATACCCTTCATTTCTTCTGAACCCCTGTTTAAAACAAGATTTAACTTCCATTGAGGATAATGATGATATGCTGCAGTTTCTATTATTGTTGTTGCTACTTGTATTATCGCAGTAAAAACACCCTTCAGGATGCAGATGTTACAATAGCTACGAAAACTCTTTGTTTGTTGCTTGGCAACACAACCCCCACCTGCCACACACCCATCCATTCACTCACTTATTACATTTCAGCGCGCTTCAAAGTGTTTTGCTTTGGAAATTCTGTAAGCATGACCTAATCTATTTGCACTTAATCGCCGTATTTATCACGAAACAGTGCAATTAGAATTTAAAGTATTGAAAACTTATAATGGAGGGGAGCACAGCCGGGTAAAGCATAATGAACTGCAACCTGGGGTTTCTTCTGCACTTGCGTGTGTGTGTGTGTATGTAATTCAGTTTCAGCTGCCCATATTTCAAATTGTTGCATCACTATTGGTGTTGACTTATGCGCACCTCATGTAAATGAGGCAGTCACGAGCTGTTTGCATAACATTTACCGACACACAAGGGGCACACATGCAGCACGCGAGCTATGCTCTCCCGCCACTGTGCGACGCCTCAGTGCAGTTGCGTCAAAATGCAAAGTTTGACAGCTGCAATGATGACTGATGACAAGCAAATCAGTAACAAAACAAGCATACAAGCATATATGAGGTGTGTTAGTATAAATAAACGCCCCCAAAAGGGCAATAATGAGCGCATAACTTGAGGGTGGCACGCTGTTAGAGAGGAATTCAATATAGAACATGTTGACAAACAGTTATATTATATTTATTGACAGGTGGAGGGTCGCATAAGCCGGTGGAATCAATTTGTCAGAATTTATAATTTAATTTGAAAATATTTTTTAAACAAATAAGAGTGATTTTAAATTGAGAACCATCACACATATTATTTGGTACACAGACTATTTGGTTCCCACCGAAACTTTGTAGCATCTGCTTCAGAAATCTGCAAGAGACATACTACGTCTCTATCATACAAATATATGTATATTCCAAGATAAAAATAGAAGATAATAATGACACGTCTTCTATAAAGGAAATTGCAATGTCGTATCTTTAGCAAATACTATTAGTTATTCGAAATCCTGCAGTAGACCCATACCACTTATCTAACAAATACACTAAACCATTAAACGATTTCTCAATGTATATCTTACTTAAATCAAAACTGGTCGCATTTCAAGCTAATTTTTCTCTCAAACGTTCTCTCCTTTCTAATATTCAATTAACGCAAGAGAACAAGAAAACATGTTAAATTCGGTTGCACAAAAAATTGTTGGCAGCTGTATGCTATAGTGACACGATCTGATCAATTTCTCCGGATATTGCACTATTACCTTAGACAATAATCCATGCCGAATTTCGTGAAGATATCTCGTCAAATAAATCAATTGGTGTTATAATGACATCGACGGTTTTGACGAATGAGCAACTTCTTAGAAAGAAAAATATATATTGTAGTAGACGCAAAAGTAATAGCTGAGTCATTAAATATTTATAGTTCGGTCAAAATTGTGCCAAAATTAAAACAATCGATAACTCGAAATCTTTTTTACTCTCTTAAGACCCAGAAATTCGAACTATAAACCCAAAACTAACAGCTGAGTAATTTTATTCTGGTTTTCCGTAGACTAACTAAGTGCAAACAGGTCTGATGGCGAGCATGAATCAATGAAATATATGATATTGTGGTACAAGCAGGCAGACTTATCAAAACATGACTCATTGTCAAAGCTCTAGACCATGTTTATTACAGCCATTTACAATAGTATTCCAGTAAATCATGGTATCTTGAAAATGTTTTTCGCTCTTATAGACTCTATCTGATTTCCAAATTCTAAGAAAAGTGGCATGATTCCAGAAGTGTTAGAAATATGTGTCTTATATTCGGCGGCTCGTTAGATTTTACATAGTTTAAAGCAATTTAAGAGCCTACTGATATGCTGGTTTAGATTGTTTCAGCTGTATGAGTTCAATATTATTGCCGAATACATTTCGTATACCAAATATTCAATTATAATTATATAAATGAACTTTTCAAAGTCAAACTTTTAAAATTCTTAGTCGCTTTAATAATCCCGGTTGTCTGTTGAACGTATTGTCCCTGTTTTGTTATTCCGAGCTCATAACCTTTGTTGCATAATTTTCGCACTTAAATGCGTCAAAATGACAATACACTCGAAAAAAATGCCCAGATGGAATTAATGAGATGCTGGGAGAGTCGCTCTACGACCGCTTATTAAAAGTCTCAGCAGCAAGCGAGAAAGCAACCAAAGCAGGGCGTAGTTGGGAAGGCATGTGAGTACAATTTCAATAAAATCGTCACTAAACACTGCAAACAGAACACCGCAATGTCCCGCTAGATGTACCTATATGGAACATATTTATGTGCCTGTAACGTCATCAGCTTTGTTTTTGTGCATTTCGTTTAAACAAATAAAGAGCAAAACCAAAGTGTACAACAAACAACGTAAGACGACACTTGGCGAAGAACATTAACCGCAAGTGTGTTGCACTTCAAATGCGTATTTGTGCAACAGACAGTCAAAGCAGCAGAAGAAAGACTAAATGCACAAAGTGCAGGCTAAGTACGAAAATGTTACAGACAGTAATTTGCACATTTACATACATGCACACTCTTAGTGCGAACTTCGCAACTTTCTTGTGGTTCTTTGCCACCTAACGCTGTTGCATAAATGCATACTTTTACTTGCCGCTTGTTCTTGCACTTGAACATCACGGCACTATGTTGCTTTTCCATATTTTCTATGTGTGTAGAGTCCCCATGTACTTTGCCCCATCCCTGAAGTTGTTTGTTGGTTTAACATTATATATTATGTAACCAAAAATGCAGATGAAAGGCATAAAGAGTCAGGTTTATGAGACACTTGAGACCGAATAGAACCAACTCTTCGTATTTTTGTAAAAAAAAAATTCGGGAAGTGTTGTCTGGAGACGTTCGCTGTTTATACGGTGTCAAAAAATTTTTTAAGTCAAATACATATATTATATAGGATAGTAAATATTACAATGAAGTTTAAGAGCAAAATTTTACTAACTACTCACACTAAGGCATCTTCTGTCAAATAAAGAAGAAATCAATACAACCTATGCAGGGTATATGTTTGAAACACTTGAGAAGAAAGTTCTGAAATCCTATGAAATATATGTATAAATGATCAGCGTGACTAGCTGAGTTGATTTAACAATGTTCGTCTGTCTGTCTGTATCTGAGTTTTTGAGATATGGCTCTAAAATTTTGCCCACGTCCGTTTCACCCCCCTCGCTTGTCGGAACCGCCAATATCGGACCACTATAGCATGTAATTCTCATATAAATTGACCGATCAAACTAAAGCTCTTGTATGAAAATCATTACGAAATTTGGCATGGATTATTGGCTAATGCAACGCTATAATATCCGAAGAAATTGTTAAGATTGAACCACTATAGAAGTCAGCTGACATACAAATTGACTGGTCAAAACTAAGTTCTTGTATGGAAAACTTTTTCATTTGACAAGATATCTTTACGAAATTTAGCAAAAATTATTGCTCAAGACAACTTTACAATCCCCGAAGAAATTACGTGAGCTCCGACCAGCATATAGCTGTCATACAAACTCACCGATCGAACTCAAGATTTTGTAGATAGAACTTATTGGTTTGACAGAATATTCTCACAAAATTTGACATGGCTTATTGTCAAAAGCAACTCAATAATATCCGAAGAAATTATTCAGATCGGACCGCTTTAGGATATAGCCGCCATTCATACTGACCTACAAAAATTAAAAACATCGAAAAAAACATTTACACATCTAAAAAAAAATCTTAAGTATTCCCACAAAAGTGCTTTTTTTATCAGTTAACATTTTGGTTCCTGGTTTGGATCTACCACATTTCTCACAGCTTCGTATTTTGGAAAGACCATCGGCCCTACTTCATGCTATACCTATTAGCTGTCTTTTGTTTTTGTGTTCTCACTGGTTCCTAAGGCTAATGCAAATATATAGATTGGTAACATTGTATTATTGTATTAAACTCAAAAGAGAACCGCTTTCTTCCGAATATGTTCTATCAACAGGTGCAATTATAATAATCCAACTTCCTCTCCAAAGTCTAGCAAACTCAAGAAAATGACAAGTCGACAAGTTGACAAACTATGCGTGACGGGGGAAGCAAATTTGGGAGCTATCAGGTACCATTTTAATAAAACCGAATAAAACATGATTGTACTAGATTGACCGAAATTAAGTATATAATTTTGTCTTATGAAGACTATTAATGCTGACCTATTATAATAACTTTCTATGAAAAAACGTAAACACGAATCACAGTTTTTTAACAGAATATAAGACCAATTGAAATAGTAAACAAAACAAAACACTGATAAGAAATAAATGTGTCATATATGTATATATATATTCCGATACATATATACGCAAGCATTCTTATCTTAAATGCTACGCAATCACTCGAACCACAAAACGCGCTACATGGATTAGTCAATCTCAAACCTTTTCCGCGTCAACAACAACCGAATGATAGTTCTGAAAGTGTGTGGCATAGAATCATAAAAATAATAGTTTGAAACTAAAAATGTGGAACATTTATAAACATTTATTGATTTTACTGCTGCTACAAGCATCTCAGAAACCCATCGTAGCCAAGCCTACAGTGACGCAATACAACAATGCAACACTGCAACTCTCGCGGGGCATACAAATGGCGGTATATATGAATGAGAATGTCAATCCATGCGACAACTTCTATGACTGGGCCTGTGGACGCTGGTCGTTAAATCATCCTGCTACGTCAGGGAGGAATAAGACCTCATTTGTAGGTCTCTTGGAGGATTTGTATGTGAGCAAATGTGCGGCAACGCTGCAGGAGTCCAACAATGAAAACAGCAACAACAACGGTGCAGTAGCGACTGATATATACCTGAACAATTTACTGAAAGCGGTTTTCGACTCGTGTCATGACACGCAGACCATTAAGACCGTGGGTTACGCGCCCATTTGGGATGCACTTAATTTTCAAGTCGGTTGGCCGCTCATAACCGACAATGATTGGTTCGAAGACGAGTACGATTGGCTAAAGCTGGTGGTGTTGGCAAAGCGTAAATTTAATGTGGACGTGTTCATAGCGTTCGACGTAGTAACGGATTTGCAAAATGCGGAAAAAAGTCGCATACAATTAGGCGCGCCAGCTTTAGCGTTAGAGACAAAAGCCAATTATGCCCGCTACATAGAAAATAAACTGCAGCAATTCTTTCCCGAGATGAGCAACGTTTGGGTACAAGAGCTCGCCTCGCAGGTGCAGCAAGTCGAAGAACAGTTAGGCAAAGCATTGCAAAATGTGACACAGGAAGTCGCGCCACTCGAACGCTATGTGGCTGAACTGAAAGCCTCCTACGGCAGTTTTGTGGATTTAAGCCGTTATCTTCAGCTGATGTTCGATCGCCCGATTAACGAGAAGGTTTACGAAACGCCGAAAGGCTATTTCAAAAATCTCGTCGATATCATTAGACTCACACCGAAACTGACGCTAGCTAATTACACGCTGTGGAAAGTTTTGGACCGCTTCGACTTGGGTGGCAGCAAAGAGTTTTGTGTGCGCAAATTGATCGACTTTTTCCCGCATGAAATGGAGTACTTCTACAATCGCAATTACGAAGATACCGAACTATTTCAAGAGCTACAGACAATGTTTCACGCCATCAAATATAATCTAAATAACGAGCTGCAAACTTCGCCGCGCTTTAGTTGGATATCGCCGAAGACACTGCAGAACTTACGCGAGAAACTGAGATCAATGCGAATAGAGGTTTTGCAACCGCAGGAGCATATTGGTTTCTTCCAAGGTGGCATTAAGCCCGCCAATATGTATGCCGATCAATACTACAATAATATCATCAATATATTAGAGTGGCAAAATGAAAAGCAGTTACTTAAGCTACATCAGGCCGCCGCGCTACTGCATGTACCGCAAAGTGGTCCATCTTATAAGCTGAAGTTGTTGCCCACTTACAATACACAAACGAACAACATACAATTCCCAGTCATCTTCCTGCAGTCACGCTTCTTCTGGGATACCTCGTACCCGGCGTCCATAAAATATGGCACTTTCGGTTTCATTTTGGCGCAACAGATTGTACGTGGCCTTAGTGAGAATGACAGCGAAGTCAGTCAACAGAAAGTGTGGGATATTGCCTCCGAATTAACCTTCGTCAAACGTTCCAGCTGTTTTGCTGATCAGCCACATTATTCCGCGAAAGAGTTTAGAGGCAAAAACGTGAACGATCGCGAACGCCTGAAGAAAGCCTTCAGAGATAATGGTGGTCTTTCTTTGGCTTATCGCTTGTATGAGAAGTGGACGCAAGGTAAAAGTGAGCAAGACATCGACGTCTTACCACGTTTACCCAAAAAACATAGGCAGCAGTTCTTCCTCGCTTATGCGCAGCTCTTTTGTGCGGATTATGCCGACGAATTGGTTGAGTTTGGAGACTTACCGGAAGCGTTGCGTGTAAACGGTGCTGTGGCAAATTTAAATGAGTTTGGAAACGCATTTGAATGTGGAGTGGAATATACGATGAAGGACAAGTGCATTATATTTTAGTAAGAATACAAAAGCTATTTACTTTTAAATTTCAGAAATATAGTCTAAGTAAGTACTGTTCAAATAAACAGTTTTAGCAACCAGATTAATATTACCTTAAATTTCGCAGAGTTAGTTAAACACAGAGGTCAACTTCTTGCACAACTGAACCGCATTTCAACTCAGCGTCGGCAATCGACTGACGACGTGATCGCAAAGCTTCTGTGACCCAGTATGAATCATAAATAGTCTAACGAATTTCTTGCATTCAGTTGGACAAAAATACTTTGATTACCTTCTGATTGACTGACGTATTTAAGTTGGAGCTTCATTGCTTTTACTGACTGAGTCATTCAAGTTTCCAAATTGGCTCATGGCACTTCATCTTCTTTTGTTTCCAAGCGTTTAAGTATCAAAATGCAGACTGTATTAGTACTTCTCTCAATGTGGGAGACCGCTTTGGACTAAAACTGACTTTCTTCAAAACTCCGCCTTATAACTAGTGCAAATATTCTCAAAGGGTTCGGTTTGAGATAATTTCCGTCAAAAAAATAATGATAGTTTGACACTCCCCTTATAATTAATATAGCTAAATCCCACTATTTGCCATGCTGTATATATTGAGAAAGGTTTACCTTTAACTGTAATTTTGGACAGTTTGCCTTTTGAACCCAATACTGTGGATCCCACAAATTGTTTCGGATTCGTTAATATTTTTTTCTGAATGGTTTGAAATTCTAATTTTTGGTATCATCAAAATATTAAATAGACTTTTAATTGTAATTCACCATCTCTTTTACTTTCCTAAACCAACGAAATGCCTTAAAATTTCCAAAAATAACTATAAAACATTTCTGTTGACTCTATCATTCAAAGTATTTTTTTCACGCTCTCTGTTTTGTTGTCAAATTTCTTACTGATTATGTATTAGGTGGGTGACTTCGCTAAAAAAAAAAGTAAAACATTACACAATGCGCCTATTTGTAGACAATATTAATACACAAAAATCGAATTTTTGATATTACTTTTTATATAAATATATACCAGAAGTAAAATCTGTCACTTTACTATTAGAAGTGCTTTAGTTTGAAATGACAAGATACGTTTCTACCCAATACTCCGCAATTGCCAATACTTTTGTTTTTTAATCTAACCAGAGTTTTTATTTTGTCTATTTTCCACGTTGTCTTGAACTGATTCCTCGTCTGACTAAAAACTGAATATTTTTATTTCATAAAAAAAAGCATGTAAATAGCACCAATGGTTTATATGATAAATATTCACTTATATAGCAATGTCGTGAGTGGTACTCATCAATATTTAAAATGCCGAGTATGCCACGGTTAGAAAAAATGTCTTGCATAATTTTCGATTTTGAACCCACGACCTCGTCTCAACGCACTTGGTATAAAAATGAATAATTAATTAGAGAGTGGGATTAAACATCCATATACCTATTTCAATTTGAACTAGGCCCTAAAAGAGAGAGAGAGAGCTACTTATATATAACTTTGTGATAAAACTGCTCCAACTATTAATTTTCTGACAGGGAAGGCGTTAAGATTTTTTTAATCCACTCTTTTTTCTTTTGAATTTCATACAATCAAATATTGCCATGATTAACATGTATGTATGTACATGTGAATTTTATTATTTTAAATTAATGACAATGAAGGAAATAAATGACTCTTGCAGTATTGGTTCGAAATATAATTGAAATATTTAAGTGTGTCACACCAGTCGATTAGCACTGTCCAGATAACCTCTCTTACTATGCCAACGTGACTGAGCAACAAAGTAAATAGTTTTTGTTGTTGTTGCGTTTTGTGTGAAAAAGTGCGTCGGAGCAAAGTAAGGCATGCAACCACAAGCTATTTTCATTCAAATACTCTTTGAGCAGAAAAAGAGCAAAAAGTTCATTCACTTATATGTTTGTTTGTTGTGTACAGTTATTTACAATTTGAGCAAGTAAACAAACGTCTAAAGAGTTGACAACAGGCGGCAGATAGTAGCCAGCAGCCGACAGTGGAGCAACAAGCGGAAGACACAATAAATGACCCATAGATGAGGACCAATTAATAACAGCACATGGGCGGGTAGAGTATGAATATGTAAGTATGAGTGTGTGTGAGTGCATGTGTCTGTGACGGCTGGTCATCAATGCGTTGGTAAGCTGAACAACCAATCGATACATATTGTGGTGAATGTTTGAAACTCAAGCCGATTAGGGCAGCAACAAATAGCCAGACAAGCAAACATAGCCGCAATATTTGTGTACAGCTGAGCGCATGGGTACGCAATCGATGAGAACAATAATTTCCAGGGTGGTCCTTAAAAGTAAATTAATTAATTTTTTCTACACACTGTTCCTAAAATTTGTTGAGAACTGGAGGGGAGGGAAGTAAATTATCAAAGCAAAAGTAGATAACAACAGTCTTGAAACTAATATTTTTCTTAACACGCGGTTTTTTCTTATGGTTGGTAAAATCCCACAGTTTTTAAATTATCCTAGGAGAAGAATACCACTAATGATCAAAGCATTCACTTAGTATCAAGCATTTCTAAATGCCCAGCTACTGGTACAGATTAAGATACATCAGATTATGTGGACATCTAATTGACTAGCATTATTATACCCTGAGTAGGGTATATTAAGTTTCCCAGAGAGTTTGTAAAATTCAAAGAGAAACGTCGGACGTCCTTAAAGTATATTGTATATATAGCTGATCAGCGTGACGAGCTGAATTGTTTTAGCCACATCCGTCTGTCTGTATATACGCAGACTAGCTGCTCAGTTATGGAGATATACAATAGATCTGAAATTTCCTTAATCATATGCTGCCTGTCGGAACCGCCGATATCGGACCACTCGAGTACGAAATTTGGCGTAGATTGTTGGCAAAAAAAGCGCTACAATTTGCAAATAATATGTTCAGATCGAATCACTATAGCATATTGTTTATCTATTTCAATAATACTGAGTCACCCTAGCATACAAACACACATACTGCTTGTACGCACAATATAACACTCTACTGCTATGCATATCAGTTGTTGTTGCTGCATTTTATAGACTGTCCAATTGACCGCTTGCCGAACAAACCAGCGACTAAATTGATGATATGTGTGTTGTTGTTGTAACCCAAGACTACCATTACCACATTAAGCACACACCCGCTTGCATGCTTAAAGACGCATTGACATGAGCTGGAGGCAATCATACGCACATATTTAGATACATAAATGCAACGATACTTGGTCTGCGTCTCGGGAACTTCATTAACAGCTGAGGTTGTTTGCACAGGGTTATTGCAGCCGCTATTACTGCTTGTGCACTTATCATTCCCACTATCACTATATAGAGAGATATATATACATATATATGCAAATATAAATCCCCTCCCTCTAAACCAGCAGTTTGTTTTGAGCCTCTCCACATTGTCGTCAGCTGCTAGCTTCCATTATTGCATTAACTCTTCACAGAAGGCGAAAATGACCAGAAGTGCTAGTGGGCGAGGGTTTTCCTTGGCTTAAAAAGTAGTTGGACAAAAGGAAGGGAGCTCGTTGCAAAATTAGAACTGACACAAGTTGAATTGCCACTCAACTTGACACCTACGATACCGGCGATGACGTGCGCCATGCCAAAGCAGCAAAGCAGCAAATCAACAGCCTTGCGTTGTAACAAGATAAAAAGCTATTAACTTCGTATTTGTTCGCTAGGTACTGCTAGAAACTGACCTCGGCGGTTGGTCAATGTGGCTTGTGTCGTATTGGGCTTGAGACCAAACAATCTAATTGTATGCAAAAGTAATTATCATACTTCGTCTGTTCTGCCATTTTCCAATTTCTCTTCATTTCTTCAGTTTGCTACCCGAAACACATATGATGGCTCGTGCTGTCACAATCAGATGAGGGTGTGTGGAATGTAGGTAATAGGCTTGCTGTCGGCACACGCGTATGTATTGGTACAAGTTCCACGAGTGTTCGAACAGCCGCTTGGCGCAAATAACTACAGGCACAACTTGGGGTTCATAAAATTACAATTAACACACTCCGATATAAAGAGAAACCCAAAACAGATTAGTACATAAACGACACCTTAGACTTCATAATGGATCACGAATGGCTGTGCAAAGAGTTTGCATACAGTTACTGTTTTTCGATGTGTCTGTATATGCGGTCAGTGGACATTATTAAATTTGAACTTTGAAGTAAAGTAAATGAAGGTTAGTGAAAAGTTTCGAGAGGTAATCACGGTGAGTTAGTGGCGCTAATAGTCAAAAGTAGCACAAGAGGTATTAGCTTTTCCACGATTTAGAATCGAACAAATTTACACAAAATGATATATTATAGAAGTTTATAGGTGTTAAAATGGATATAGAAAGGTATATTAGGTACGGCAACCGAATTGCTTGCAGTATCAAGAAATTTTTCTTATTGAGAAACAATTCAAGTCATGGCGAAGCTTCGAGTATGAAGCAACCATATTAGAGAATCCAATAGGTGTCATTCACTTTAAGAACACAAAAATATCAAAAGCAGTAGATTAGTAGAAACAATCATAGCGATATACATATGTACATATAATTTATATTATTATTAGTACCTTTGCAAAATAAATACAAAAAATATCATCGGAAAGCTATTCAACAACTTTACGACATTCCGTGAAGACAGCAGCAACAGAGCATGTTCGTAGTCAACTGGCAGCGGCTCATAAATCTACCAACTGTCTTAAGCTGGGTGGTTTGGCAGTCTCCGCTATCGGCCGACTAGTTGACCGAAAGCGATGAGTATCGAAATCAATGATGATAGCTTATTGAAAGCTTTACGAACCACGAATCGAGTGTAATCGACAGGGCTGTATAAACGGACCATTACGGAAGAGCGTAAGTGGAAGACAACGGCGAATGGAAGAGCGAAATATGGAGTACAACAGAGCAGTTTGTTGCCCAAGGTTGCTGAGATTTAAAGGCAGCTCACAAAATGGCGAAGTGTTGCGCCATTGACGACAAGTGACCAACAGCAGTGGCGTATATAGTCCATTCGTTTTATGCAGTCGATGAAGTCGATGACGACAAAACACTTGATGTCGACGCCACAGACGACTTAAGATGAACATTAGTTTACGCTGATGGCTTTTTCGTGACCAAAATTCCAAGCAAACGCAGCGGAATGGGCCGTGATGTGTGGGCGGTAGGCCAAAGTCGAAAACCTTACAGCACACAGGCGAGTTTATATTTGGAATTCGCCGAAGCAAGTGAAAGGTGGGGCAATTGAGTAAGCTATTTTCGTGCCGATACCTAATATATACGACTATAAATTTGTTGGATAAGACAATTGAGGTGCACAGGTGCCGTGAAGGCCATACTTTTGGTGAGTCTACAAAGGATAAGTGGCATTTGCACGGGCATACGGCAGATAGATGAAAGTATTTTTGTTATTTCTTTAGAATTTTTTGGTTAGATTTTCGGTGAGAATGCAATAAAAATAAATTAGTATGTAAAGCAAAGGTAAAAATAAAAGGAAGACAACAGGAAGTAAGTGTTCTTATTGCAGGAGTATATAGCGGTACATATAGAGTTCGGCGAGTGTTATATTTCGTGCCTGCTTTGAATAAGTTAATCCGACAGACGCGCACATACAGAATGTAGTATAAAACGGAGATAAACAAAATGAAGATAAAGTGCATTTTCAAACGCCGCC